AATAGTTCAATGATTTATGTGGAGATATTTCCTGAAAGTTGTTAGTAGTTATCAAATGAATTAAAGGGTAAAAAGGTCATTGAACAAATAAAAGAATAAAATAATATTTGGGGGTTATCTTATAACCCACGTGAAAGAGAAATGTGGACAAAGGTTTCCAGACATTTCTCTCATCTTCTTCTCCTTCTTCACCGTGAAGCATACAAACAAATGTAAGTTTTCGATTTAGCTAATTATTTGTTGATTTTATGGTTGGGCTTTGATCATTAGATGATAACTGAGCTTAAAGAAAGCTTAAGTTATCTTAAAATCAAATGATAAAGGAGTTAGGGAATATTAAAGATTTGGAGTTCTTGAATGAAATCTTGAAATAGAGTTGATAAGTTGAATTTGAAGTTAAATTTGACTTGTCATCAGCTTAATTAAGAAGTATTAAGTGTTATAATTGAATTTGAAACATGTTGAAAATTGGGTATGATTTTTGAAGTTCATAAAGAGGAGAAGATTTTGAGGTTTAAGATGTGATAAATGAGTAGAAATTAGTTTAAGTATGTATATTTGAGTTAAGAATATGAAAGGGAATGAAACATGAAGAATTGAAGTGGAAATAGTGAATTTTCGTGTATGAACAGTAATTTTCTGGGCAAAAAATCCAGATTATGCAGGGGGTACAGATACCCCCTGGGGGGTATCGATTCCCTCCTAAAGAAAAAAAATGGAATGTTGATTAATTAAACTAGCTTAAGTTGTTAACATAAGTTATAAGGTTTAGGCTTCTGATAATCATTCCAGAAATTATGTTTATGTAGATATTGAGCCTAAACAAGTTTTGGAACAATCAAAAAATTAGGATTGAATCAAAGCATGGCTAAGGTGAGTGCAATTTAAATTGTATTTATGTTATTGTATGTATGACATGATTTGTATGAGTATTTGCTAGTGTGATAAGACATAGGAACCGGTATAAGTGATATATATATATATATATATATATGTTTACATAAGCCTATGATATTGACATAATGAATGATATAAATATGTGATATATGAACATAGAAGATTAAGTGAATGAACATAGACGAGATGTAAGAATAAGATATGAATAAAATGATATGAGTTTATATGGGAAATATATGTGAACAAGATATGCTATATATATATATATATATATATAATGTGAAACCATATAAAGTGATACAAGCTATGTGACATATGAATATGAAATCATATGATAAGTGATATGAATTACATAAAAGTAAACTACGTGATTATATGCACATGTGATATGTATGTTACATGATATGAACCTATGTGATATATGTTATGTGATATGAGATATATGTTCACACATACATGTGGTATGTGACAGAATAGAAGGAACATGTGATTATAAGATCAATGATTACACGTACATGTGGTATGTGACAGAAAAGAAGAAATATGTGATTAAAAGAGAAATGATATGAATAAGTGACGTGAACATATGAACTGTTATAAATGATAATGCCCATGTTATGTGATATGATAGCTAGGGGTATAGTTGGCATGCCAAGAGTCGAGGGTTTACCTATGTTCTACGGAACATATAGACAGAATTACCTATGTCTTTCGAGACATATGGACATTATACCTATGTCTTTTGAGACATATGAACAATATACATATGTCTTTCGAGATATATGGACAATATACATATGTTCTAAGGAACATATAAACAGTTTACCTAGGTTCTTCGGGACCTATGAACATTTGTCAAAGTTCTGTATGACCTCTGGATAGGTCCTTCGGGACATTTATACGAGCTGTGGTAACATCATAGTGGTACACAACCTCAATGTACTCACATACCTTAAGTTCTCAAAAGTATACATGGGCTAATACATAGACTTTAAAGAGAGTAAATAAATCAATTGATATGATACGATGTGTGTTCTCTGTTGTGAAATGATATATGTGTTCCATGATCTGTATAAAAATGTTTAGTATGTGTTATATGATAAAAAAAATTAGTTACATGTGTACATGGATTAATAAGATATAATAACAAATACACTATATGTGATATGTATATTTGGTAATATGAAATATGTTATAAAAATTACATGATGATATGTTTATTCCTTGGTATATTGATATATGTGTTATATGATGAATATATGATAAGTAAAAGTGATTAATGATAGTATTTGCAGACGTATGCCTTTTGTTTATATGAAATGGTATATGGTTATATTACATGTTTTATATGTCTTACTAAGTCATCGACTTAGCGTGTGATTGTTTTACACGTAGGTTTGGAAAGCGAAAAGAGAAATAAAGATGAACAAGACAGGTCAGTTATCCTTACCAAAGATCAGATCATAAATGTAGATCAAATTACATGTATTTTGTTAGAAAGAATTTAGTTGGCATATAATAAATAAAGGATTTGTATTGGATACGCTCTGATCGAATTTTGGAATGTTTTAAACATATATATATGTAAATAGTAAATGTATAGAGATGAACGTTTTAAATTTTAAGAGTTTCTATATGTTTTACGGAAATACTGTAGCAGGGTATCGATTCCCTGTAACAGGGGAATCGGTTCCCTTATGACAATCTAAAAAATTTTAACATCGGGTATTGTTCACGGTATTGTTTATTACTGTTCATTATTATTCATACGGTATTGTTCATATCGTATTTTACTGTTCATAAATACGTTTTTGCCTCAAAATTTTATAACAAACAAAATTCAATAATATATGATCGTATTTTCTTAATATGAGTTTAAATGTTCTGTTATTTTGCAATAATAAAAGTTTTAAAATGTCAATGTGATATCTCAGACTCGTATACGGGTCAGGTACGAGTTGGGGTGTTACATTTAATGGTATCAGAGCTAGGATTTAGCCGATTTTAGGCTAAAAACGAAGTCAAAAGTGTTTTAAAAAATATACATGCCAACACAAAGTGGAAAATTTTCTGATTTGATAGGGTAAGGAATGTGTTGTCATGTTAATAGAGCTAAAGTGTTATGTTATATAATATAAGTGAATACCTGAGAATGATCTATGAGATATATATGTTTATATGATATAATAGATGATATGTGAACATATGCAAATGACATATGTTATATGATATGAATTGGATGATCATATGCACACATGATATGTGATAGAAGAAATGATATGAGCACAAGAATATATGAGAGCTTCCAAAGTGAAGAGGAACGCGATAGACATGAAGGCAATAACAATTCACCTAACATGACCAGGTAGGGAGAAGAGCGAACACCTCAGGGAATATATATGTATAAGATTAGAGAATGATTCATGATGTTGAATGATATTCCGATGTGTTTTCAATTGTATACATCGTTAACTCATAGAATGAATGTATCGAAATAGTTAAAAAGGTTAAGAGCACCCAAGTTCAAGGGTAAAATTTGAGAAAGGTTTTGTTGTTACAGACCTTTGTTATATGGAATGTTCTATGATTCTATTATATGTTTATTATGCCTCACTAAGTCAATAACTTAGCGTGTGATTGTTTCATACGTATGTTTCGAGAAGAGGAAGATTGATAAAAGTTATGCAAGACAGGTCAGTTCCTCCTTTCCAAAGATCAGATCAAAAAAGAATTGAATACTATGTATTTTGTAATATTGATGGTGGTTGGCATGTAAATAAAGGTTTGAATTCGATATGTTCTAATCGGTTTTGTAAAACCATATGATCGAGTTTTGTAATGTTTTAAACGTATATATGTAAATGGTAATCTTTATGATGATGAAAGTTTAATTTTTATGAGTTTTATATAAGTGGACCGAAATTTACTGTAGCAAGGGTATCGGTACACTGTAGCAGGGTATCAATACCCCTGTAGCATTCTGGAAAATTTTAGCATTCGACACTGTTCATAGTACTGTTCACTATTGTTTATGGTACTATTTATTATTGTTCAGAGTACTATTCATACTGTATAGTACTATTCATAAAAACGTTTACTTCCTTAAATTTGTTATAACGAACATAATTCAACGATATATTATCGTATTTTCTTAATACAAGTCCAAATATTTTGTTATTTTGTAAGAACATGGTTTCAAAAAGTTAATGTGACATTTCAGACTCGTATCCGGGTCGGGTACGGGTTGGAGTGTTACAAAAATTGAAAAATAAAACTGTAGCGACTAACAACATAATTTAATACATATTAATTCCATGAGTTGAAGAGTTTAATGATGTTAATTTATATATATACATATTGGAGTGTTTATGTTATGTTTCTTGGCAATGTGGGATAAAAGCTAAAAGGTATATTCCTTAATTTTTCTATCTCTATATCTAATGAATCTACTTATACATTAATGTTAGATTACATTAGGTTAATATTTATTTTAAAGGTTTATATTAATTAAATTTAGATATTTTTATATATTAATATATTTAAATACTTATTTTTTAATTATAAGTTCAAAAAATTTAAGTAACATGAATTAAAAATATTTCATTGACATATAAATGTATTATTTATTGAATATGATTAATTAGATCTATAATTTAAGTTGAATCTAATATAAAAATATGTAGAAAAAAATATTGCTTAGTGCCATCAACATGTAAAATGTGAGGTTTATATAGAAATTTATCCTCACGAATAATTAAAAAAAATCATAGAACAAAATTTATGTATATAAATGATAGCAACATTAGTTGTTACTACTAAAATGATAATATAAATTAGTTTAAAAAATGATAATATAAATATTTTTATAATTTATATAATCATACAATTAGGATCACATAACAATCTACTTAATCATATTTAATAAATTAGTTTAACAAATTTATATAAATATTTTTATAATTTAATAAATATTATACAATTAGGATCACATAACAATCTACTTAATCATTTTTATAATTATATAATATTTTTTCTGGGTTTAGTTCCTTAACGATTATATAATATTTTTTCTGGGTTTATTTTACACTGTAGGCAGATGCAGGGTTCAAGTCCGTTTTAAAGAGTGGCTGGTAGTTCAATGGCGGCAACTGAATCAGGGGCATTGGTTACTTTGCTAGATCTTCAGCAATCTTCAATTTTTTTTAAGGAAGGAGCTTCACTTAGAGTAATCGGAAAGTAAGAACCCTAAACCTTTAGCCTTTCTTTCTTTTTAATGCATTTTGTCTATTTGTATTCCCTGTTCCAATTTTCTCTTACTTGGCAATCTAATACTATTAACTCCTCAGGTTCTTGTTTCATGGTTGTTATTATTGACTTAGCTGTTGACCGTAGCTGAGAGAATTAAGGACCAAGTCTTTAATGCAAAGCACGCAGGGGATATTTGGGGAATTGGAATTAGTGTTTGTCCTAATGAGATGGGTTTTGTGAGAAGAGGGATGTAAATGAATTATTAGGAGGAAAGGGCAAATAAAATTAGAAATTCAGTAGGGTGAGAGGTCTTGTTGCAGCGGTCTGTGTTATCAAACAATCCCATGGTAAAGGGGATGGTAGAATGGTGGCAGTAAAGTTGATATTATACTGATTGTTTTGGAGATGGGTTATATAAGAGTTAGTGGAGGTGGAGACGCTGAAGCGTGGTGGTGGCGTAGGCAAAAGAGACCAACATCAACATGAATATGTAAGGTAGCTAGAAATTGGTGGTCATTAATGGTGTGGTATTTGTTGAGTGGAGATGCAAATGAGTTAGTTCATGTTGGTGGAAGTGGTGGCTTTTGTTGTATGATTATGGAAAATGAAACGAATCAATGATGCTTGATGTTAAAGTTCATGATGGGTTTTGCTTGAAGAGTTGATGCAAGGATGTCTCTAGTTGTGTACCGCAGATATGAAGGACAATATTACCTAAGAAAGCCGGGTAAAAAGAAAGAAAAACAGAAACCGTGAAATGAACATGTGTAGAGAATATGTAATAAGATTTTCCAGTAGCATGTTGTATGCTATGACCCGTTATTTGTTATAAATACTTGCTTAATGGGCATTATGGAATATGGGCTATGATTTCTTAAATAATGTTATTCTCTTGTTTGGATTTCTATGTTGTAATCTCTTAGTAGCATGACAGTTCATAAAATGGTAATCTGGATTTTATTTTATATCTTTTAGTATGCAAAACTTTTGGTATGGAGATTGTTTTCGGAAGAAAACTCTAACTATATGCTATGCTGCACAACTGAAAAGATAGGTGCTTGCATGAGTACATATATTCATCTGTTAAATTATAAATCAAGACTATTCTCTACCAAATGAATGCCTAAAACCAAAGTTTTTAAGAGCTTCCATTCTTCAATATTACTCTTGTTGAAATATCAAATCATACCGGATTATATCTCTTGATGGTTCTTACTGTAAAATATTCTCATTTTTGGAGATCTTCCAGCATAGGGATATGAAGGGGGCAGGTGGAAAATAATAGTAATATGAGAAAAAGAAGAGGATTGCATTTTTCTTGGAGTAGTTTTATGAATATTATCTAATTTCTTTTAATCTAACTAGATTGCCCTTTAACAGGGGGGATGTCTATGGCTGGTGACAATAATTTAGGGTAAAACAGTGTCTCCTTGCTAATTTTAGCATTATAGATAGTTTAGGTATAAGTGATATTTGATTATTGGAAATATATCAATGATTCTAGACAATTATTTAATGCCTTACCAATTATGTACAGTTTTCTTGATTTGACTTGCTGGATGATTGCACCATCGGTATATTATTTTTGTTTGTTAATTGGTTGATTTTTATGATGTGATGTCATATCCATATTAAGAAAGGCAGAGAGGGAACTGTAACACTATCAAAGGAATAACTTAAATATCTTCGTTCGTCCTTAGGCTGCAAGATTATTCTGTGGAGACAGCCATAGCTGTTATTGCTGATCAAGGTGTCACTCTAAAGATAGATACCCAGCACTTGACGGAACTTGGCTTCCGAATTGGCTCTATATTCCAATTCATTGGTGAACTCCTTATTCAACCCAACAATGAGGTAAATTCCTATACGACTAAGGTTAAATGCCTTTTTCTTTGCTCTCATTCTCTCTCCCCCATCTAAGACTAGTATGTCCTGGTTATGTGATTTATTTCAGGCAGTACTGCAAGCGCGCACTGGTAGGAACATTGACGGTATCGACCTTGATCTCTATTAACAATCTTTGCAGCACTTTAGACAGTTCCAAGCTGAGCACATAAAAAGTGCAGTTAAATAAAGTTCTAGATTTGAATGGACTTGCTAGTGATTTCCAGGTACTGAAGAAATTACTACTAAACTTATGTTTGTCACAATTAAGAGAAAACATTCTGCTTTTGGTTCTTCCAACTGTTATGCTGTCTAGTATAGTGTAGTGGAAGTTTTATCTTGTGTTACTGTTATAACTTAGTAACTTAAGGATTCAATTTTGCTTGCATTGCCTCATTTCCGTTAACCTCTTGGCACTGCATGTTTGGCTGCCTAATTGACATTTGTCCATCTCCTAGATTTTACAGTCACCGGTAGAAATTGTTTGAAAATGAGGGATATTTTTAAAGAAACTTATCCCATGTCTCTTAGCTAAAGCTTTTAGCATATTGTTTATAAATCTGAACACTTAATTGTGTTTGTAAGAGCCAACTGAAAGGATCGACTTGCTCCCATGACTATTGGTTCCAAAAGCTTAGTGTAATTCTTGTACTAAGTGTCCAAGAAAGTTAATTCTTGTACTAAGTGTCCAAGAAAGTTATGTGTTAAACATATTTTTAGATAGTTCACAAGCCTATAAATTACCTTGTTCCACCTACATTCTTAATGCACCAAAATACAACTTTCTCCTCTCATTCCCTCTCGCTTTTGTTCAGTAGTTTTCTTAAAGTGATTGTTGTTCTCATTTTCGTTTTTAGAATGGAAGAGCTTGCTGAATTCTGGTGATATGTTGTATGACAAATTATCTTTAAAGATAGTGTCTGACACATCTCAAGCTTTAAAGCTTGGATTTCTGATTTGCTAAACTGGTTCATAATATCAAAAATCTTAAGAAAATTCTTTGATGTTGTTCTCGCTACCACTACTGTTGATCGTGTTCACATGTTGGTGTTGTCGCCGTTGACTCGTTGCGTCGCTGCCCATGTTCCGACACTATCAGTATTCTTGCTGTTAGAGCTTCAAATGCTTCCAACTTAGTGAATAACAATGCAAAAAAAAAAAAACATGCATGTATGATACCATGTAAAAAAAAAGTTTTGGTGTGTACTAATATTAATTTACAAATGAAATTAAAGTAAAAACAGTAAAGTGAGATTTTTGATGTAGTAGAAGTAATGTGGACTTAGTGTAGGCTTTTGTAATGTTACTTTAATTTGATTTCGGGTACTAATATTACTTCTAATTATCTTCTTATAAGATCTTGTCGGATCGAAACTTGACGGGTTCGAGTTATTTTGCCATGTCTATGAAATCCTCTTAAAGGAGCAAATGAGTTTCCTTTTACTAGGGTGACTCAAAAGGGCATTTTGATGCAGTCTAGTCTAGTATAGTGGAAGGTTCATCATACTTGAAGGATTAGATTTTGCTTTCATTGCCTCATTTCCGTTAATCCTTTGGTACTGCATGTTTGGCTGCCGATTTGGGATTTGCCCATCAACTTGATTTTATACATAGCCACAGGCAGTAAACTAAATATTCTGGTCCCATCTCTCACGTGCATCATGCATATTGGATGGAGATGTGTGCTATTACCTCATAAATGGCGATGGGACGGGATGCATTGGTGATGGCTCCAGAAATATTATATATATATATATATATATTAACAATGTAAAATTTCTGTTCGTGGTGGGCACAATCACTAATTACCCAAAAAAAATTGAATTTCAAGGTGAATGATTGTTGGAAAAATTGTGATAAATTGAAAACTTCGAGACATGTTTTTTAAGGGTAAAAGTGAAGATTCGAATAATCAATTTACTGATTCATATTTTATTCCATGAGATATTTACAACGATATCTTATATGTTCAAAATAGTTGAATGATAAATAAGAAATTGATGTTCAAAGTATGGTACATTGGTAGGATAACAAGCGTGAGAATAGTTGAAATTATGATTTTCTTTAATACGGAATGTCTTGTACTTCCAAATTTATCCAAGTAAACCTATTAGGCTAACATCAAAATAAAAAAAAAATATTTTCTTCTTTTTTAGTTTTCGGTGATAGGCTGATAAGGTATAGTTCGTGAACTCTTGCACTTAATAAAATATATCGTCTAGGATTATTATACTTGTAACAACATTTACCCATTTTCACGAGTTCAGTTTTTTTGGGATGATAGTGGAAAATTTGATAGATAAATCACCCCATACATGAGATTTTTGCTGCATACGATTCCTCATTCAATTTTTTCCCCTGAAATCATTGGGTTCTTTTCTCATTTGAGAATCCCCTCCTTTCACTCTATCCCGAATAATAACTAAGACAAATCCAGTTACATTTTTCATAAGGCGTGAATCTTCTATTATATTAGACAAGTTTTCGGGCCGTCCCGATTTCTAACTTGAAAATCAGTACCACTAAATTTAAAGTAATCCATTAGATACATGAAAATCATTACTTCTAAACTCGAAGTAATGCATTAGATTTTGCTTTTGGAAACCCTTAGAAGAGAAGGTTTGAGTGGTGGTCGTTTATAGTCCACGAAATGCGGCTCCCTGTGGAAAGGTGTATCCCAAGCAAAGCAAGACTTTGCCTTTTGCATGTCTCCATCGGGTGCGCCCCTCCCCCATGGGATTTTGTCCAGATAACCACGTGTCAACTCCTTATTAGTTGGATAAATGATCGGACCACTAAATCTAAGGGCCCCTCGGTCCACCAATAATATAGTGGCTTTTGCGGTTTTACCACCGACTTTACCACGAGGTCTCAATTCTCATATAGTGGAGAAATTATTTAATATACCCCCTGACCAACTCATCTATAGTTTTAATAAATGAGAGCCACAATTTTTAAAATAATTCTTAAATAATTATCACTTATTATTTATATATAAAAAAATATAAAGAATCACATTAAAAAAATAAAATAAAAAAATATTATTGATTGAAATTACAGATGACATAATAAGTCGTCCTGGTATTTTTTGGTCGGAATCATTTAATCTTTGAAGGTCATTTTTTATTATATTTGAAAATTTAAAATAATTTTATATATTTATCTACTTTGTGACTTTTATATTTTATTTTAAAATTATGAAGATGGTGGCTCATTATTACTGCAATCTCTTTCCATAGTGACCAACCCAAACCAATATTGTTTGATGATCATTTTCTCACATATATATATACGGATAAATTTAGAAATATTTTTTAAGGATTAGTATATATATTAATAAAATATTTTATAATAAATAAAATGAATAATTATTATATAAAAAAGATTTTAATGTATATCCTAAAATCACGTACATCCATCATTGAATAAAATCATAATCATGATTATTACCAAGATAATCATGATTATCATTAGCCGTGCTTATAAACTTTATGGACACCATTTACCTAAATGATGATTACACTTGAAGATCAGCTATGAGAACTATTAATGATAAGTACTATTATTTTAATTTATAAAAAATTAAATTCAACGTATATTTATAAATTAGTTAAAATTTAAAATAAACGGTAAATTATACTAATGACCATCTAATCATTACCGCTTTTCATTTTGACCAATATTTTTAAATTTTTATCAATCAGGTCACTCAACTATTTAAATACATTCAATTAAGTCATTTATCGTTAATATTTAACAGAAAAACTGATGTGGCTGTTAAAATATTTGGTATAATTACACATTTAATCATTGGTACTTATATAGTCTATCAATTTGATCCTAATTTTAATAAATTAAAACAAACTTGACCCTCAAATTAACGTTTCCCCCGTCTCATTGTGTTTCTTAACCACCCTACTTCCTCAATTAAGAGATCTTTTTAGAAGACCGATTTATATAATTAAGACTATTTTTATTTTTATAAAAGAAAATTATCTATAATCAATTTCGAGACTTAATATTATGTAAATCTGAAACGATATTAATTATTAATATTATAAATTTAATCGATCAAACTCTCGACTTTTAGAACTACGGAATCATAAATAAATAATGGATTTTGGTGTTATTATTTTTTCTTAATGTGATAAATTAAAATAAAAATTTGAATTTTGGATCGTCTTACAAATATAAAATATGTCGTAACTTTTAAAATTAAAACAAAAAATTTGAATTTTGGGTCATTATACATGATACCATTTTATTTTAGGGTTAATTTTAATTTAATTTAATTTAATATGAACAAAATTGATAGAATATGTAAGTAATAGTGACCAAATGCGTAATTATACCAAATACTTTAACTGCCAGATCAGCTTCTCTGTTAAATATTAATGGCAAGTGGCTTAATTGAATGCATTTAAATAGTCGAATGACCTGATTGACGAAATTTCAAAAATATTGGTCAAAATGAAAAGGATAGTTTACCCTTTATTTTAAATAATTTATCTTTAATTTTTTTAACTAATTTATAATTATACGTTGAGACTTTTAGAATTAAATTTTTTATAAATTAAATTAATAGTGCTCATCGTTAATGATGTTCATCACTATTCGTCGAGCGCTGTAGAATTTTCCTTACCTAAAACCAATGTTTGGGCAGGATTGATTTCTACCCAAGTTGGTGATAATATTTCCTTTTTGGCCCAAAAGGAAAAGGGATTGGGGGTGTTTTAAAAATCTTGCAGTCATAAGATTTAGGGTAAACTACACATTTAGTACATAAACTATCAATTTTAGTTCTGTTTAGTACTTAAATTTTAATTTTTTTTTCCAAAATCATATTTAACGTTTAGTTTTCATTTTATTTTAGTGCCCCTCCGTTAAAAACTTAACGCATTTAGTACCTAAACTATCAGTTTTGGTTCGTTTTAGTACCTAAAATTTCAATCTTTTCAAAATTTAATGTTAAATTTTGAATGAGAATAATAAAATGAAATAAAAACTAAATTTTAGGTATGGGTTTGAAAAAATTAAAAGCTTAAGTACTAGAACGAACTAAAACTGATAGTTTATGTACTAAACGAATAATATACCCTAAGATTTAAAATAATATTTTAGGTGAGATACCAAATTTTAAATAAATTAAAGATTATGTATGGATATTATCCTAGAATTAT